TAATTCTCAGTATCAGTACTCTAAATTTTTAAAATTGTAAAATAAAAATGGTGTACAAACTATGAAACTATTTTTATAAGACATCTTACTGAGGAAATATAATATATGTAAAATATATTTCTGACAAAAAAATATTTGGAAATCTTCAAGTTGTGCTAGTTAACTAGTAACTATATATAGTTATAGTAACATAAATAAAATAGTAGACTTTAATATAGTCTAATAATAATATAATAATAGACTTTTTATATAGTAATATAAATAAAATTCCAACCCATTTCTAGTGCTGAGAGATATATATGAGAGCAGAACAACTTTAAGAAGTTAAAGTACCTTTTATTAACAACGCATCCCTTTTTGATAAGATTATGCTTCAGGAGGCTTTTAATGCCCATAGAGATGAACTGTACACACTATAAACAAAACAAAAACAAAGAAAAAAGAAAAAAAAAACCACACCAAAAATCAAGGCGAGCAATACCATTTTGGGACAAGCCTCTGTTTAAATTATACACAGCTCAATGCAATATTCTTATGGAAAATATATAAATACTTTTTCTTTCTATGTTACAGGTATACAATATAAATCAGATTTCAATGTCTGTTCAGTGACCTACAACCACTAGAACCTCCAAATATGTAGCAGCATGTTACTAAATAAAAAAAAAGACCACACAGGACAGGGAGAATAAGTCTTGAGATTTTCCTTGATCCCTTCCCTCCTCCTCAGAATGATTAATTTACATCTTCTTTTGTAATGCAGTTTAGGGATGCTGATGCTCCAGCATTGGAACACTTTTTCAATTAAATCTAGAAGACATCTGCCTTTCCCCCCCAAGACATTACATCTTGTGCTAAAACACCCTATTCAGTGGCAAAATAGCATGCTACGCTTTTTGACATAAATTATATTTCTCCAATAAAATAGTGTATTTTACAAAGCAATTCAAGCAAAATGTGCAATTTCTGCATGCTATGGCACTGCTATCCATCTATGTTACAAAAATAGTCCAAGGAAAATCCACATTCTTTACTGAACATACAAATCTATTGAAAATAAATCTATCCAGGAAAACAGAATCAGGAGTTAAACAAAAACCAAGGACATGGGGGGCTTCTAGTAAAATATAAACATGGTTTCTAGCATGTTTCCAAAGGTCTTTTACAGCTCTCAGATTTTACTCTCACCTAGTATACCTTTAATAAGCACATGATAATAGAAGTGTAACTGAAAAAAAAAAGTTATGGGACTTGCTTTCAACTGGCTCTATAACAAAGCCCTGAATAACAGAACTTCTGTGCAGCCCTGCTTGGAGGCAAGCAGAAATCTCAGAGATACTCTGAAGCCTGGCAAGAATTATTCCACTGCGATTGCTCAGCTTGTGCTCACACTTACAAGGTAACACCAGCTTCCTGAAGTCCAAATAGCCAAATACCAAGACCAGGACATAGACTAAGAAGCTACAACTCTTTCATCTCTCACTAGACTTTGATTATTACCTATTTCTCAAATAGCTATCTTTCTCTTCAGGCACCTAGCAAAGGTACTACAGGGTTTTTTTTTCAGCTTCTCACTGCAAATTACAACTCTCTCATTCAAGACCACTAGATATGTTTTGAAATAAAATGACAAAAAGATGAGTGTTATACTCACTGCTGCCTTTTAAAATGTTTATAAGAGCAGCTTACCTCTAGCACTTCATTGTGTCTTGGGAAAAACCCACCACCAGCACCCAATATGAGCACATTTAGGGTACATATGTCAGGTGAAATAAGAACTGTTAGATGAGGAAAAAAAATGGTTTCAAATACAACATGCCAAGGGCCCAACATACAAGTTCGACACCTCAAAGCCTGACCATCTCCAGCTCCAAGTGATGTCCACGACAGCTGGGAGGTGTCTCCAAAAGGACACTCGCAGCATTCTGCTTTGTCCTCCCTCCCACTCAGTGGAGAGAAACAGGCCCTCGGGGAAGCAATTGGGAGCCCTTTAGTTAGCTCTCTACACTTTGGAAATGGCTATCCCTTTCCACTGACTGTAAAAGCAGACTAAGAAAATTAGCCAGCTAATTTAGTAGACTAAATGTGATTAGTTTCACAGCCAGCCTCTCCTTCCCACAAAGGCTTTCACCTCAGAGAAGTCTGAGTATTTTGTGTAGCATGTTTAATCATTCAGGAATTTTCTTTTCCACAGCAACCAAATTGTATTTGTATATAGTGTAAATGAACACTATATGCTTTACCATTTGTTGGACAGTATCACAAATAGTTAAAATTGCAAAAAATACAAAGCAGGTGGTCTGTTTACCTTGCTACCCTTTCTAGGGGAAGTGGAAGGATTCTTTGTTAGGGTTAGTTAATATGAGCACAATTTTTATTTACTACTGTTTTCCTTTGAAGTTTTATCATGAAGCAAATAAACCCCCAAAATACGAACTTTGAAGAGGATATTTTAAAAAAGAAATAGATAGAATTAGAAATTCACAGTTTATAACTAGGCCAATATCAAATTCCTTCAATAACAGTATATGTTCATTTGTCAATTAAAATGAAAGTCATGTGAGCTTAATGTGTAAATACGTAAATTAATTCTAAAAATTTTGTATGATATGTACAGGAAAGACTTTACATCCTTGATGCATACTTGTTGAAATTGACTGACACTCATATACTTTCAGGAAAAAAAAAAGTTTTATAACTGAATTTGTAGCAATAATTCATACGTAAAGTTTCTGTTGTCATGGATCCCCCACACAAGCAAGTACTTCAGAACACATAAGCATTTCAGGATGGAGAATCTTTCAAAAGTATATTGACATTGCTTTTGCTTACTTTTTTATAATCAGAGGCCTTCCTATGGCACTTTCTACATTAAGTGCTATGGATTAAATTGGTAACAAATGAACAAAGGTGGTTTTGGTTTTAAATACAAGTGATAAAATGTGTTTATTTTGCTTTAACTGCAGATAAATAACATGGAGTTGTTTGATGTAACCCCATCTAGATATTAAAAAAAATCTCTAATATTCTAGCCTAACTGAGGTAGTGTTTGAAACCACTGTATGAGATATGCTAGCCCCATTTTTGGGAAAACTACATTATTTCCTTTGGAGGTTATACCACTATTTGGTCTACTGTGATTAACATTTTGGTTTTACAGAAGCATTTATTTCTTATGATCAGAGTGGTCCAATAGTTACTGGCGTGATATGTTTTCAGAGCATTTAAAACATGCCTTGACACATTGATATATTATTTGTCACTGACCATAAAAGAGTTGGGAACTCATGAAAAGATAATCTCAGGAATTAAATTTGACTATAAGCAGAAATTTGGAGATCTGTTTTACCAGAACCTGATGGTACTCAGTGCACATAAGAACTCAGTGAAGTGATAGCTGCAAGGCAGTGCTTATGTGGCAAGATAAAATTTCCAATAAGTGCAAATAAATTCTACATTTCACTAACAATCATGTTTTACTGTTCACAGGATTACTTATTGAAATCTCCAGTAGTATAGCTAGTAAGAACAGGGTTATGAGCATCAGAATAAATTTCACTTAAATATTAATCTGACAATTACAAAAAAAATCATAAAAGTGAATGGATAAAAATACATTCTACCTTAGTACAGTCCAGCTGAATTATTAACCTATATCAAAATCAAAGGGTAATCCCTTCTATTACAGGCATTGCAACAAAAGTGGCCATGCTACTGTATATAGATATTTGCATATATTTATATTACCTTCATAAAAAGGCTTCTAAATCTTTAGATCTATTATGAAAATGACTGGGATTCTTTCTATTTTTTTTAAGCTTGCACTCATTAATTTAGAAACTTCACTAGTAACATGATAGACACAACTATTTCAGTCATTAACAGTCACTGTATCACTTTTGCAACAAGTCTCAAATATAAATATAAAATTATAATTACTGTTGCTTCAAAATTTGCTACTTAAGGCTTTTCACTACAATTATTAGTACTATCTGATGCTTGATCAATAATCCATTGAAAATTCAAATCAAACCTTTGTTTTTATAAAAAGCTGTTTCCATGGAACTTAAAAAAAACCCGCTTATATTATGTCTTCTCACAAAAGCAGCAATGATTAACCATCTTCAAGTTTAGTTCATAGAATATTAATTTATCTGATACAAATCATGCCTTTTAAAGGTTTTTAGTTAAGAGTAAGACCAACATTCATACTATATGAGTATAGAAACTGCAAACACATGCAAATCATTCAGGGAAAACTATCTGATTTCAGCATTTTAAGTTTAAATGATTTGTTATTTTAAAATCAAACTGTAGTGAAAATCCTTAACTGGTTCAGACAAGATACATGTACATAAGTGTAATGAAACTGGAGAGACTGCTAATAAAATTACTTACAACTATAGTGATATTAAAATAACTTAGAGGAAACTTCAGATTCACAGAGGCTTTTCTTTCTGTCTGAAGTTACAAACCTCCAAGTAGTGTTATAAACAGTACAAAAAGCAACAGAGAAGGGCTAACATTAATTCCCTCTTGTCCATGATTACAGCACAGCTCCCCAGTTGCTGGCAATGGAATGCACCCTCATTTCTGATTCCTGGTATCCAGGGGCTAAAAAGCAAGGCATCGGTTTGCTTCTTTGGAACAGAACTGGAAGTCAATCATAAAATATGCCTCTGTGTGTTGTTGGTTTTGGGTTTTGTTTTATTTTTTGGTAAAAAATAAAATTAAAACTTGTGGAGGTGTTCAGTGCTCGGCTCTTGCATATACTGGTAATGCCTATTATTAAAACTATGGTAACGTTTAATAACTCCCCAAAGGGCTTGAAAGACCAGGGCAGTAATTGGTTAAGGAAGAAAAAGTTTTTTCAGTCTTCAGGTACCAGTAGCTTCTGGAATGGCCTAGAAAATGATGCTCCAAAGCTTTTTATCCAGTCAATCAGAGGTCATCTGAGGATTTCAGAAATTCTATATGCAATGCACTGCACGAGACAGAGGTTAGGATTCAGCTGATGTATTGATTACTGGCTGCTTTGTTGGTGTTGCTAAAATAGCCTCTGCTTCTTCATGCATCTAAAAGACAGATTAAATATTAGTGTTGTCAGAAATTTTATTAGAAAGACATAATAAAATGATTTCCTTTAAGACACATCCGAAAGCATTCAGAACATGAAACCTGCACCCAGCTGGCATATTTTGATGCATTCAATGCATTTGAACTTTCCACTTACTTGTAAGAACTGTACATCTTGAAATAGCTCCTGAATGAACCTTCGAGATGAAAGTCGAAATGTACAATGTGCTAACAAGTAGGACACCTCAGAGTAAAGGCATATGTCATCAAATGCTTGGGGATATTTCTCCTTAATTCTGTCAAGAGGAAAAAGAAAATTTTAAGTGCCTTGAACAGATTTCCATCACACTTTAAAAAAATGTTCATTTAAATTTTGATTGTCATCATGAAAGAAGTAGAACTCTTCAGTAATAAGCATTATACATTCTGGATTTGATGAAACAAGAAAATCAGAACAGACAGCATTATTTTGTACCAAACTGAAAGAAATTCATATTAATGAGATGAAACAGAATATATAATTTGAAAGTTGTACAGAATCTGAGATCACTTAGTCTTAAAATTATAGATGTAGAAAGAGCAAAGTATATCAAAGAATAGGCATCCACATGTACAGCAGGA